GAAGAACAACATCTATGTTTGGATGCTTGATCGATGAATTGAACGTATATCTTAATATGGGATTGCTATTAATCTCTAGAGCTCTGTTTGTTTGGCTCTCTTTTGGGACCACCAGTCCATTCGTCGACTGCATTCTGATCAGTAGCACCCTGTGCCTGATGCGCTCTGTGGTGAGGCCCTGGATGCCCTTCCTGAATCAGAAGATCACCAAGGCTATGCGGCTTGAAATTAAACGTCGAGCTGATGCGCAAAACAAGGAGATTGTGGTAAAATCCGTGTCCAAGTCCTCTGGGAAAAGGTCAGTGCCACTTGTCTTATATATTATTATATCGAAGTAGAAGCAACCATTTCTTGGATTGAAGATTCACCAAACAGTGGTGTCTAGAGCAAATTTAAAAAGAACACCAGGTCTGGTGGAAAGGATCTACGTTCATCGGCTATGTACCCTCGAGAGTTTGGCCGGTGGGTTGCTTCCAAGCATCTATCCCTTATGGTGTCTTGGTTGTGTCAATACAATTAACCGTTACACAGTGTTCTCCACATCCCGATCCTTCATCGAAAATTGTGTTGGTGGATTGCAAATTCAAAACCGACTCTAACACTGGCTTGCTTAGGACTCGGGTACTCCACTGCCAGACCTTGTAGCTCTTGTGAGAGCCGGTTTTCGAGATTTTTGGATGCAATGTAGGTCTTTATGCAGGAAGACACATATTTAGCATCTATATATTTTTATCATCATCTATTGCTTATATATACAGTAATACGGTGCCATGTTGTTCCAAAACATGAGTCATGAAAGCCTTAATACTTCGAGGCTGTCATACATGTTCATTGTGGGGTTCTCCATACATCCGCCAGCCCAGGATCCACCCGCTTGCGTTTGGGACCACGCTGACCTGGAGCCGCTGGTGATCTTCATCCAGGATGCTATCCGTGAGAAGAAGCTTCGGCCTGACCCGCTTGTGCCAGTACAGGTTACACCCAGTCGAGAGGTGTTTGAACAAGTGAGGGCGAGGTGGGAAGGTCAAAGGTCATAAGATGTTAACATATCCTGGCAATGTTGCAACAAGTTCTAACAAATGCCTGGATTGAGGGTGCATAAGCCACTGCCATGTGCCGTGACCTTTGGCCTCACACCAGTGCATGGTTGATGTATAGAGTTGCACAATTCAGCCACTCCTATTAATTGCTGGGTTTGGTGGGGAAGTTCGATATGTGTGCATATACATACGGCATATATACCTAACTCCCATTCCCCCTAGAATCTACTGGAGTGAAACTTCTTGAGCTCAGTGGTTTTAGCTGCTGACATATGCCAATATACGCTTGACTTGTTGCTAGATGCGACTCGGTGCAAGTGTGCATCTTGAAAAAAAGCAAGTAAAAAGCAACTTTTGGTATGAAATCTCCTGGCATGCAGCTGGAAATGAAAGTTGAGGGATGTGTGTCATCTAAAGCAGTGAAGCTGACTCGTTTTGCAGCTTTTTTCCCTTTTTTGGGGCCATTTGGGGCCTGAGAGAGCTTGGAACTGCGGTGGGAGAAGGCAGGGTGCGATTTGTTTTCCTGTGAACTCGTTTTTTACCATCCAAGCCCCTGCGTGAAATTCGCGTTAAAGTGCGTGCTCAGCCAAAACGCGGCGTGAAATTGCGTTAATTTGCGTGAAATGGTGGGATAGCTTTGTGGGGGCATTGGACCTGTCAGGTGATGGCGCCGATCGTTCCCACTGCTACCAAAAGCCCTCCCACTGCTGCCAAAGCCCGTGGTGCACCCGTTGTACCTAGTCTGAATTTCAAACATTGTTTGCTGGAATGTAATGTTTCCCCTCATGAGATGCTATGACGTGTCCAACTATTTCAAGAAACACTTTAAATGCATCCAAATGCATCCAAATCCTGGTTTGAAGTCGATGTTGCTCTCCGACCCCAGGTGAGATCATCGTCATCTATCGACTCCTTCCAGGCTGATGATGAGATTAGCAAGCTGGAGCAGCGTTTGGGGGCAAAGTTGGGTCCCATGGTTTGCACTTGTATGGTTTGAATCCACTTAATGCGTGAAACACGCTGATCAACGTGTACTATGAGGTTCCCTTCCACCGCCGAAGCCCAATAAGCCAGTTGCCACTCCAGCTCGGACTACAACACCGGTGCCTAGTGCACCAAATGTGAAGGCTGCGAAGAGTCATGCTGTTGCAAAACCCATGTCTCCAGAGAAGATTACTAGTACCAAATCAACCCCAATCAAGAGTCCAGAGATGAAACGCTCTAAAACGGAAGTCATTGTGCATGAGAAGAAGAGTTTGAACCGTGCCTTTGATCACGTTGCGGCTGTGGAGCCGAATGATCCAATGCCGGTGGACTCAGGTGTCCCTTGGACGTACTAATATTTACCAGTTTCACATGTGGATGAACCGTTAAGACCCTGTGACCAGTGACCCATAGTTGCTCCACCCAATGAGCCTTGTCTTCCGAGGTTCCTGGCGTGGTTGGCAACGATCGATCTACGCTATCTTTGACTGGTGGCCAGACTACATAGCTGAACGGACTGTTTGTTAGTCAACAAAATTGAACCTAATTAATATTATGCGATGCAAGAAAAGTCGAGAACATATGTACTAGTGCTAGTTTACAATGGTATGCCATATATCCTGCGTGAGGTGATGTCATGGAGCCATCCATGGACCAGAAACCAGGGCTTAGCCGAGACATCTGCACTATGACAACATTGCCCTTGGGTGCCAGCATGGAAGATTTGGATATGGTTCAATCTGACAGTCTTGATATGCCTTTGGTTGGGCTTGTGAAAAGGCTGGGTATGTCGGCTTCTCAAGCAGAACTGGTACAAGCCGTGTCCATGTGGGTTGAGCGGCGTCATGACCTGGGAGACATTGCTCAACTGGATCCACAACGTGCTGATGCAGTGTGTGAGGTCAGTGCGTTGAGGAAGCAGTTGGCGGATAGGGAATCCACTCTCAATGTCATGGTCGCAGACCGACAAGCTACGGAGAGAAAGCTTGACCTTGCTGCTAGTACGATGCTGGCGCGACAGCATACGACAGCTCTGGAATTGTTTCCGGGCAAGGTTCCAGAGGAAACGGATTTCTACAAGGCCCACATGGCCACCATCAATTCCTGGAAGACTGACAAGATCGCTCCATTCCTCGGAGCGGAACTGGCCTTCACCAAAGTCTCTGCAGACATGACCGACCAGCTTCGCCACATGGTTGACCACATGATTGAGACAGCCGCTATGGAGCCTGAGACGGATGCAAATCCAATACACTCAGTCCATGAGGTGGACGCTACCTATGCAGACACTGAGCTGATGAAAGACTTGGATGACTTTGTCCGAGAGAACTACGCCAAGGCTCGATCAAACACATATGCGGCACTCAGCTGATGTTCTGCTAATTTCTGCAAACACACCATGATTCATAGGACCACCTTTACCTCCCCCGGTGGTCGCATCTGTATCGATCGATAGCTGGGGTGTATTTTGGTCTTCTTCAACCGACCTATTCCGGCCAGGTGGTGTCGGCATCACCATCTGCGATTGCACAGGCTGATGCTTCCGCAAGCCAGGCTCACGATGTTTTGTTTAATTCAAAACAGTGCGCAACATGTGCAAATGTGGTCGCAGTGACGGTGCGTTGGTATCATCAGCTAGTCCGTTCTAGCCAGGCTCGCCCAGCACCAGCAATTGTGACTCCGCAACACCATGAGGCTGGAAGTAACAAAACACATGGCACTGAGCTGGTATTAGTGGACACGCCAACCTTATTAAACATGCACCACATGTTCATAGATGATCAACCCATTCCTGCCAGGCCCTGTCAATCCCGGCCTCTTTGGAGCACGAGCTTGAATCCAGCCAGCGCCTGCGTGATCACGCTGAGGTATCTAACTTTAAGGGGGTGGAGGAGAAGGATTCTGAATGTGGTCATGGCTGGCATGCACATGCATGGTGCTATCTACTTCAAACAAACCCTATAACCTAGGGGCCTCCTTTCATGTGTTTATTTTTTTTATGTAGGAGATCGAGCCTGGGGCATCCGAACCACCGACACCACACCTACGTGGTCATGTGGAGTTGATGAGTCGCATGGACACGACCCAGCTGGAGGCACGTCAGTGTATTTCTCCCTTATAGAACTGATGTCAGACACAGCGTCATAGCGACAAACTTTATGGTTGGGTCATCTTAAGCCCATTACCGGATCGTGAAATATACTGATGTTGATCGTCAGGCAAAGGTCCCCAAAGCCAGTGAGCGAACACGACCTCTCCGTATTCGTTCAGATGGCCAAATCGAGACTGAAGAGGACTATGAAGCCAGGATGGCCCACAATGCATACATGAGGTTTTCGAGAAGCTTCAAGCGAATCTATCTTGCATGTAAACGTGCTAGCTAGCTATCTAGCTATCTAGCTAGCTAGCTATATATGCTGGCTTGGTGGTCATTGATATCACTATATTGAGTTGCATATTGATGGTTGCCCGCATCACATCTGACCGTTCCCACTGAGGAGCCAACTGTCCAAAGGTCGTGTTGGAAGCAGCAGCTGGGAAGAAGCACAGTGCCTGGGCTAGTGAGGAAATTGAACATACAGCATATTATTGGATCAAAGAAGTAAGGGGCTTTTCAGAGACATGTACATACATCATGTATTGCAACACCACACCGGCAAACTTTAGTGCTGGGGTGTTCTGTTATCCCCTCTTGCAAGGTCTTGTGAGATGAAAAAAAATAGGTTTTTTATATGCTGTAGAACTTGTCCTTAAAGCGGGGACCCCCTTAGCCTATGGTTTTCTTGCACTCAGACCGGGCACTTCTTGGACAACTCTATGAGGATTTCCTCAGTGCAGGGGAGGACTGGCTACAATCGAGCCTTGTCATCAACTCTAGCCGCAAGGTTTCGAGCAAACGCCGTGGGAAGTACAGGATGTCCATGTACAAGGATCTGAAGAGTCTGTACGGAGCTGGCGTTGCACGCCAGCTCCGGGATGCCAAAAGGGATCTCGAACAGCAAAAAAAAGGAGGGTGATCCAATAGTCTATTGGTGCGAGCACCCTGACTTCAAGGGTATGGGGAAGGAGGACCCGGGTTTGCAAGATATGCGTTTGTTTTCAGTCAGCTACCAATGCACAATGCCCGCTAGTCTGTGCAGATTTTTTTCCCGCCCTCATCACTTTCCTGTATTTCCTCCCATCACAATTTCCTGCAACGCAGGACCTGGAATTGGTGAGGGTCTGGGATTCGCTCGTGTATGAGGATGATTGCACAGATGAGCTGAGCATGGCCCTGAGCGCTGAAGGGTCCTTTGACGCGGCACAAACCCGTCAGGTGTTGCATCTTGTCCCCAAGTGTGAGAGAGAGATATCTAGACAGAAGACCCAACAAGTTTGCAGAACATATATACATATACGATATAGAGATGTTCATGGACCACCTCTAGGGATCACCAAATGTGCCCAAAACTGTCAGGCAGCAGGCCACCGCAGCTGACATGAACCGCTTGCAAGCGGGGGCTCTTGGGCTCCATGCTGATGCCACCGACTTGAAGCCTGGCCTGCAGCAGGAGGACAATGGTCCGAGGAGGCCCAAAAAGGAGAAGACTGCCGCACAAACGGTGGCTGCCAAGATCTCGGTACTTAGTGCCAAGAATGCGGAGATCATGTCATGGTCAGCCAGAGTCTCTGACTCTGACAAGTTGTCCCTTGACCTAAAATGTATAAGTCTAGAGTCATTGGAATCATGGCATCTTCACTCTAGGCCGTGGTATATGTTTACAACCCGACTGAGCCCAGGTCATCTACGCTGAAGGATGGTTTCCGCAAGGAGTTGGATGCCCGCAGAGACAACTTGGCCAGTGTGAGGGGTGAATTTGAATCCCTGTATGCTCAAAGATTGGATGATGTCAAGGATAGACCCGACTTGGTAGCCAAAGTGGAGACTGTCCTTCGGAGTTGTGAAGCGGCTTTGACAAGCTACAATGGTACATTGAAATCCATCAAGTTGGCGATTGATACTCGCTTTGCAACCGATGTGTTGTATTACTAGTAGTACAGCGATCGTGCCCCAGCAAAAGCTCAGGAACCACCGGTGACGAAAGTGAAGGGGGCTGCCAAAGCGAAAGCGAAAGCAGCTAGTGTGCCTGCTGCAGTGGAACTTGTCCAATGATGGCCTGGGCAGATCCCGGGTTCTGAGCAGCTGTAGGCCCAGCAGCTTCTAAGATGAGCACCCATGTGTATGTTGACTGTATTCTAGAACTAGATGGACATCACCAAAACTCCTGAATTCAACAAAGGTGTTTCCCAAATAGTGTCGGTTCTCATGCTCAAGCAGAGCGCTGGGTGTCGATTTGGAGATCTTGGGTCGGGGTGACCGTACATGTTTAGATAGCTTCACATGTAGGTTTGGCCAATGGGTGGAGCACAACTTGATGTTTCAGCCATGGTGTATATGGCCCTGACCCATGGCATGGCCTGAGCCAAACAATCAGGCTTTTGGGATTTCGAGGACAAGTCATGTCCAGTTCGCGCTAGCTGGGGTGAATATTGCCCTGCAATGCCGATCACCCTAGACTCGAGCTGGTGTGATGTCACAGGAAAAAATCTCAACACCCGTGTCTTGAGCACAATTTTTGATAGGATGCGGTGAGTCTACAAATCTACTGTACTTCAAACCTGCACCGTTTGATTCATCATTCACCCGTAGCGATCCTTCACCCCGCAGTCACCACACCTTGCACCCTTAGTGGGATCCTCCACCCCGCAGTCACCACACCTCGCAGGTGCTGCATTGACATCGCCTTTGTCATCATACCTGTTGAAGCAAAGTGGCATGGGAGACACTGAGCGGATTTGATTGTTGAAGCTGCGGTGGTGTGGGTACTAACATTCTACGGGTAGATCATGAGGATTGGTCCTTCAAAAAGGCGCAAGAGACCATGCACTATGTGTCCAAGGACCACTATTTGTGTTTGCATATCGTAGTGCATATATATATAAACTTCTTGTGGCAGGAACTTGAATGGCAGGGGCTTGGTCACTTGAGTGGCCTATGTGCTTCCCTGAATGCTTCAGGGTCATCTGGGAAACATCCACAAAATGTGAAACGCGATGTGCTTCGGAAGTTATCAAAGATGGATTCTGATTTACAGGTGTCTTGACATATACAGTGAAATCGAAATCTTAAATTCAAAACTCGTGTATTCATTGCTAGAAGACTGTCATGAACCAATCGACAAGGTGCCAATGGAGCAAGTATATGTTCCTCTCTGGGAGCTGGAGTCAAATGGGGACTATGTCATTAATGAGAGGCCGAATCAAATGATAATTAATCAACTCACGACATTCCCACCCTGCAATCATTCATGCCTGTGTTGACTGACCAGGCCAATGCCAGTGATCGTTCCCCACAAGCTGTTCCCATGGATGATGCGCCGTGGGATTTGGCCGAAGCTGGACGCTGCCAGCACAGAGTGCTACTGGAAACATTTGAAAGATGTTGGCTCTCCATTGGGGGGTATGAGTGATGGAAGTCACATACCTATGTACCTGTGGGGTGACGGTGCGCAGTTTACAGAGTCTGGTGAGAGCATCACAGCTTTCACCTGTGGATTCGTATTAGATGAAGAGCGATCACACACGTTTCCCCTGTTCCTTTGCAGAGATGAACCTTGCACATGATCGAACTTCAACTTTGTAGTTTGATGTGCTATATATATATATATATACGACGATCGGTCTACTATATATAGTTCCGTGGTTTCAAATTAAGGATGTGAGCACAGGTCCTGACACCATGTGGGCCTTCCTTGATCCTGCCCCGTCGCTGCACTTGTAACAATGCATGTGTGTACGTAGATGATTTCAGAAAAACTGGGCACTTTGAGCTGCAGTAGCAACCCGTTGCACTGTTGACTAGATCTAAATCACGGTGCATTTGGTGCGTTTGGAGTTTACAGGCCCGCGCTGGTGGTGTAACTACCTAAGGTTGTGAAATCGTTCCAGGACCTGTATGATGGTGTGGCACCATCTGCCAGTTCAGGGTCAGAATCTTCTAAGCTGAAGGTCGCGGTGACTGAACTTCGGGGTGATTGGAAATATCTTGTGGATTCTTGGTTGTAGATGTAGTACGTGCGTTTGTTGCATATGTTTTATTAGACATTAAGCTAGCTCAGGAGATCCTTCAACTCAGCAGGTGGTACAAATGCAACTACATTTGCCACATGTGTTCTGCGCACAAAGACACGTTCATGGAAAGCCCAGCTCGACTACGAGATCGACCACATTTCTCTAATGATGACTTTTTTCGGCTCAGTGTCAAACCTGGGCGACGATGTGCCTGGATTACACGAACGAATGTTTGTCTGGTTGAGTTTTTTTGAACTAGATGGTTGCATCTGCAGCTGCAATTGAACTAGATCCCCACAACCACCCATGAAAGGCGCCGCTGACTTCCTCATCCAAGGTCCCTTGTTTGACCTCCCGAAGTGGATCCCGCAGAGCATTCGGTTTGACTCCATGCATGTTCTTTGCCTCGGGATCGACTTGCTCGTTGCCGGAAACATAATAAGCTGTCTTCTAACCTATGACTTCTGGGGCGATGGAGATGACACCCAGAAGCTTTTGGTTGGGTGGCAACAGTTTCGACAGTGGGCCCGACTACACCACTGGCAGCCACTTGTTTGGATGTTGGCGCTAGGTGCTAGCTTTCTCTGGAGCTCAAAGGAGTTTACCCCTATCCTTGGTTGGTTACCATACGCACTTTTCTTGACACTCAAGAGGGCTGCAGTAGGTATTCAAAAAAGGGTTTGCCCTTATCCTTGCTCGGCTACCATACGCACTTTTCTTGAGTACTCACTAGGGCTGCAGTAGGTATTTAAAGGGGTTTACTCTTATCCTTGCTCGGCTACCATATGCACTTTTCTTGACACTCCAACGGGCTGCAGTAGGTCTTCATGATGCTTATTTATCGACGTATGGGCTAATCATGGGAAAGATGACCCATGGGGAACCATCCCAGGCACTCGGTGCCACGATTTGCTCCGAAGAGATTGCGATCCTACCAGCACCCGTATCCTGAGCTTCAGTCGAAGGCTTGGAACGTCTCTTGGCTTTTTTGATGCGCTGCATTCCCGCAATACTCTCTTAGCGATGAATTACAGTAGTTGCAATTGACAAGCTGGCAATCTGAAGGGGGATGGGGTATATCCAGGTTGGTGTCCAACGACATGTTTGCAGCCAACAATCTAAGGCTCGTGTCATTGTTGCATGGCTCTCTGATGCCTTGCAGGGCTTTGTGAGGGCTTCGCCTGGCGACACCATGCTGAAGTCAATGCAGGAGTGCGCGACACTTGGCACTTGTTCTTAATATTTCTTGATCTTCTGGGCGTCCTCGATGACCATGCCATGTCAGCAAATGATGTTGGCCCCTGACACCATATGAGTTCTCATTGTAGACGATCTCGAAGTCGTCAAAAGGAGATCATGATATGAGGGTTGTGGGCCACCACACATGGATCCATAGGGCCTGGCTGAGATTCCTCGTCGCCGACAACAGTCGCGGTTCCAACGTGTACTCGCGAGCCACTGCTTCCAAGCCGTGAGGTTGCAGGCCACATAAAGTAGAATTTTTGCTGCAGTTTGCAGCCAGCGACATCACTTGGTACCACTGTACCACTGTTGTGGAGCAACCTCCAATCATTCATGTGACCACCCCCGACCCACACCCACTTGCCGATCCAATCGACCGGAACCCCACTGCCTTAAGGACTTGCCTGGCCTCTTTCCATCGCATCGCCGAGCTTAATGGCCATTACCTCACCAAATCCGTGGCTGAGAGGATGTCTAGCTTGTGCGACACTAGTATGAACTAGGGCTCTGAGTTTTCCAGGGTTCGTTCCATGCACCTCTTGCCCTGGCATATGTACATTTAACAGATCTAGATGGATCAAGCTGATCGTTATAAGTTTGGGGTGCCCTTTTCTGTGTGTGAAAACTAATCACCACCAAAGGACCGGAGTATGAAGGCATACATTGACTTGGCCGAACTGTTCTTGGAGAAGGAAGAGCTTGGGTTTCCATCGAGACCCAAGTTTCATGTTACTTGTCACATGTGGTTTTTGCCCTGAACAATTGAGCTCACCAGGGATTAACCAAATGCACTGCTGGATCATGCATCCTAGGCATGGCAGGAAATTTGTCGGGCGCAGCTAGATGACAGTCCCTGGGATGGAACAGTACAGCTGAGTACGACATTGCACATGAACACATTCCAACAATTTTGGTACCATATATCGACCGGCCAAGGATTGAACCACAGGTTCAGCGCGGGCTGGCATGTTGAAGATTTCGTCGGACGACTGGTGGACTCTTTATCGATATCCCAACGTCAACGTTTGGAGGAATCCGCCATGCTTCGTTGGTACTTAGGGCTACTTGTTCGCACTAAATGGTACATGCATGCAACCAAACCAGTGCAATCAACAACATGCATGCAACCAAACAAGTCCAATCAACAGCTTGTCCCACAGGCTCTGTGCTGACTCCAGCCTGGCACAGTTCGATGCTGAAGTCTGAGCTGAGATGGCTCGCTGATGAGAAAAAATGTCGGCACACATGGACATGAGGGGGAAAACCTTGGTGCGTTAAATTCCATAGTTCCCTGAGAGAGGGTTTGGACCTAAAACATGCTCAGTGAGGTCTCAGGCTCCAGATGCCTTCTAATCGAGCATCCGGGAGCCCTAGGGTATATCAAAAATAACATGTACACACAAAATATGGACATGTCCGGTGCACGGTTCTCAGTCTCTGTTGAAACAAGAAAGCAAATGAAACACACCATACGTGTTTAGCCAGAACATCTTTGGCACAAGGGATGTTTGTGCGGCAAAGGGGCGGTTTTTCATTGACGGTTGACCGGTTGAGAGGTTGCAATCACACCGGCCTGTGTGACTCGGTAAGCTGCTGGCCTGCTCTAATCATCCATCGCATCTCCGCACAGGTCTCTCAACGCATGAACCAGTCCACCAGCGAAACACGAGGGAAACCCAT